CAATGATTGAGGACTTGTTTTGAATAAACACGGATACAATTACACAATTTTACAATCAACTGTAAAGAAACCTGTGTTAAGTTGGAGGGTGAGAATAGCACAGCAAAGCTCTGCAATGTCACTATGCCCTCAACATTTCTGCTTACAGCCTACTCTTTGCCACCTCTACAAAATCAGCAAACGCGCTATCCTATTCATGCTATCATGGTGATTGACCTATCAAGCAGCAGGACCAGGAGTTAACATCCCTTTCCATAACACCAAATAGCCACCCAGCAACCTATATTGCAACTATGTGCATCCCACCAAAACCAAGGCCAATGCTTACCTGGAGTGTATAATCATTTCAATGAGCTGGCCTCAGGAATTTTAAAATTCAGAATTTGGGGTTGATTTTGTCTTCTTATTGTTATTGCCACAGGGAATCAGTCAATGTATTGCCTTTCTTAAAAAAAAACTTTAAAAAAGGCAGTGTCTGCTGACACCCACTGAAAGTGCAAACTGCAGTTTAATTAGTTTACATGATTATGGTTAAATCCTAATCTTAACTTGAATACTTGATCATATTTCTTTATATGAATCACAGATAGGAATCATCTTTGAGATAATAATGCCCACTATTTATTATTCATAACACATGGAAACCAACAACACCTTCTTTGATTCCTTCTTTAAATGTTGAAGGGCCTTTAAACAAGTTAAGTTTGCAAGGCAAGCAATTGAACAGCATCCTGAAGAGCGTATGATTGAAAAATGTTCATCAGTTTGTTTGCTACTCTTCACATACTATCTCTCGAAGATCTCTGACTCATTTACTGTAGTGAGAGAAACATGACAGGAATGCAAAATTCCCTTATTCATAGATTTATTTCTGATTTTTCGGCATTACCTGTTTTGATGAAGTGGGATAATCAGTCAAGTATACTAAGATGTGTTTGGTTTCTGAATATCATGAATTTTCAAGTGGGCCAAATCAGGTCTTAAATACTTGTGGGTCAACTCGCACCTGATACACCTGGCACACTTTCAAGTATCCTTCATCTGTAAGGATCCCTACTATTTACCAAAGTCCATCTTTAAACAGCTTGGCCAACAGTCCAGATTTTGATTCATGCATGTATCTAATTAGGCCAAACCACCTTCATCTCAAAGAGGAGTTGTGTCATTTTTGTCATCCACCAACCTGCTACAGGCTGAAGTAGAAGTATTTACTTTTCCAAACAGACCCTGGTGAGATGCGACAATTTATTATGGTTCTAGATGGGACAGCCCAAATTGTAAAGCTCCTGACTGAGGAGAGATGAGCCAGCTCTCCTCCTTTATTCACTGAAATGACTCCACAGAGGCTGGTATCCCGTTCCTGAGTTACACATACATAGTACTTGACACCAGTGTGGCTTACTCACAGCCAGTTCTGACAGGCAACCAAATCTCTGACACTCCCATTTATATCTGTCAACCAAGGCTCCCTGATTGGACTAGATTAACAGCTCCAATCAGGGAACTCATTCTATGAGGTCCACTGGGTTGACCTCATTAAAATCACTACATTCACCACATCCTCTCGCCTTTTCGCCAAAAAAGAATCCCTTCCTCCTGGATACCTTTTTCCCAGACCAAAATTAACTTTGGCTTTAAAAGGCTTTCTTAAAAGGTTCAATTTAACTAGGCTTTCTTAAGTTAAAAACAATATACTATTAATTACTAAATGCAAGATAAATTAGGAACATAATACAATACATGCAAATTAAAAGTAAGAGGTGAGCCCAAGAAGGTAAAAGTTTAAAAAAAGAGATACCTGGTTCATTCTCTGAATAGCTCATAAATAACTTCGCAGCCAAAGCAGCAGAGGTTACTGGTACCATTGACATTAGTAATTAAACAAGTTTTATTTTGAGATTCTTGATTTTGTAGACTGTTTAAAGCTCCTTTGTCTTGATTCTTCTTTTAAACTGGTTTGCAGCGCTCAGAATGAGAGTAGGGCTAACTAGGGGGTAATTCTTCATTTGTGACCTTCACAATTCACAAATTCTCCACAGCAGGCTGGTACATACAAGAGCATTCAGTCCCAGTGATCGACTCCAGTAGAATTAAAACTAGCTTTTTAACTCCTGTACTTGTGTATTCTTGAAATTAAAACAAAATTTGTCTGAAGTTTGGGACATAATCTGCAGAGATTGGCTTACTGTTGTGCGGTTTGTCATTAGCCTGTCATTTAAGGGTAGTCATAAGAGATCACAGTCCAGTCTGTTTTGAAGTTTCTTTGATACCTATTGGTGTTACAGCCCACGGGTCCCACAGATAATTTTTATGCATTTGCAGTTACCTTGTTTCTTTGCAGTACTCTTTTTAGAATGGCACAGTTTGTAATTAAAGGTTAAAAATGCCCTTCGTATTTTCGGGTTCTGACCCATCGTCATCACAGCACCATTGTTCACCTTTTGGATGTGAATGGAACAAATGAACAATAGTGTTAGGGTTATATAGCACCAGCTCATTTGGGAAATTTTGAGATCAAAAATTGTGGATATGCTTCTGGTGCTACCTTATGAAGATTTACACAGCAAAATATCAACTGTAATGTTGGGTTCTGGGTTGAACTTAATAAAATAATTTAATTTAACAGAATTTCAAGTTGCAACTTGAGGACTTTGACAAAAGTATGCTTTTCTTTCTTTATCTCTTCTTATTAACAGTTTTAAACCAGTCACTAAAATAATTAATGGTAGCTGAGTGAATGTACAGGTATCTGTCTATGAGTAGATAAGGGCATGTAACAATGCAATGGTCCATCTGAACAAACGTAGCTTATATTTCAAGAGGGTTACAAACTGTTTGCAGAGGAGGCAAAAAGTCGGCAAATGGTTTATAATATGGGAAAGTGTGAAGTTGTTCATTTCAGAAAGGACAGCAAAAGAACAACAGTATTACTTAAATGGAGAATAATTGCAGAAAAGGAAGGGACTTGGGGGTACTTGTGCATGAAGCACAGAAAGCTAGCACACAAGTGCAGCAGGTAATAAAGAAGGCTAGTAGAATGATGGCCGTTATCTTAAGTGGGTTGGACTATAAGAATACAAAGTTTAATGCAATGAAACAAGGTTCTGGTGAGACCACATCTGGACACTGTGAGCAGTTTTGGTCTCCTTATATAAGGAAAGATATCATTTCATTGGAGGCAGTTCAGAGAACATTCACTGGGATGATTCCCGGTATGGAGGGATTGTTTTATGAGCAAAGGCTAAACAGGTTGGGGCTTTACTCACCAGAATTTAGAAGAATGACAAGTGATCTCATTGAAACAAATTGGATTCTTAAAAGGCTTGACAGGTAAAGGTGGGGAGGATGTTTTCTGTCATGGGAGAGTCGAGGACCAGAGGGCATAGTCTCAGAATTAAGGTTCTCCAACTTAACAAGAGAACAAGGAATTTCTTTGTTCAGAGGGGTGAGAGTCTTTGGAACTCCTTGCCACAGACAGTTGTGGGGGCAGAGTACTTGTATGTATTTAAAGCTGAGGTGGATAGATTCTTGAACAGTAGAGGAGTCGAGGGGTATGGGCAAAAGGCAAGAAGGTGTCCATGAGAAATGTCTGAGCAGCCATGATCCTACCTGATGGCAGACCAGGTTCGAGGGGCTGAATGACCTACTCCTGTTCCAATTTCTTACGGTCTTATATTTCCCACTATTCTTTTGTTTAGAAAAAAATGACATAGAAGGTGTAATCTGATCTATTCACATTTGCTGATACTCGTGGCTCAATTTTAAATCTCTTCTGGCCATATTTTCTGTGGGGAGGGAGTGGAACATACAAAATTAGACAGGTGCCCAACCCACTTCCTTCTTACTCTCCCCCAAAGTACTACCCATAATACAGGGGGCATGCCCTTTGCACATCCTCCAAAACCCACCCTTCACCCCCTCGTCCCCCTCTCTAAGAAAGGCAAACCTTCTCCACCCAACATGCTCACCCTGTCCAAGTCACAGATCCCTTGGGCCCTCTTTATCAGACTGGTTGCAGACCTAGCAATACCCATTCTTGGTGCCGCTAAGACAAGCAGAAAGGGGACAGTTCCAGAGGTTTGGACCTCCTTCCATAGTGGAGCAAAAGTCCCAATCTTTACCACTTTCGCTAACCTGCAGCCTGCTATGGCAGTGGGGTGGACTCCCTTGAGGTCCATCAGCTGCCCATTGATTTTCTGTTATGGGGGAGTATGAGTTGCCCACTCCCTTCTCTATAAAATTTTCAGTTGGGGTTATCTTTGTTTCTATCTCTATCTCTTCATACCTTTGTCATCTTTCCTTTTCATTGTTACATTCATTAGTTTTAAAAATCTATCTGCTTTTGCTTTAAAGATGATTTACTCTGTCCTGATAGCCACTTGTGGTAAGGAAGTCCATATTGTATTCCATATGTGAACGTGTTCCCTTTATATTGCTTATGACAATATTGAGTTTATGTTTCTTTTTATTGACTCCTTAAATTATTCACTATTTACCTTCTCAAAAATATGTGTAAGTATAAAAAAGCTCTATTAGATTAAATCCTAAGACTTTGTTCCAAATAAGAAAGACAACATTTTCAAGCAATTCTTATTACTACAGCCTCTTATTCTCTGCATCTTTCCAGTGAATCATAACAATACACTTTTCATAGTTCTCATTTCCTTCCAAAAATGTAATACTTCAACTGTGGCTGGATAAAGATATAAGCCTCTTACATGTTTCCATTTCCAATATATCTTTGCACATAATAGAAATTTTTGGTGCTTTTTTTGTTGGACAATGGTGAAAAATGCACAAAGGAAATGACAAAATCCTGTGATGTGCTCTGTAATAATGTGCCTTCAACCGACACATTCTTTGCAACAGACTGGGATGCTGCTTGGAAAGAATAGGTTTATGCTGGTGAAAGACTAACTTCAGATAATCCAAAGTGGAGTTAGTAGGAAACCCAGTCACTGTTATTTGTGGTGATTTCACTGTCGCTTTTCTCTCACAGCAGCAGGCATTCTACCGAATGGACTTCACACAACTTCTCGAACTCATGGGCAGTGGAAAGGAATCATTAATATTTATGAAAAAGAGAATCCGGAGATTGTCATCACAATGGATTTCGGCAGTTCAGAGCCTCAAAGAGAAACTTGAGATGAGAGAGAGGCAACGGAAGAAGGTGAATAGACATTGAAATTTGAATAGGCATGGTATAGATTCAGGTATAACTCTGATCAAATACACAACAGCTGATTAGCCACAATATAATAAGAGTATTGTCTTTGATAAGTTATTTACTAGTATGTTTCATTCTCTGTGCTGAATCATTCAACTTCTTTGTATGTGTAGAGAAATCTAGAGATACAAGAAAATTTAGTCAGAAAATACCATCAAAACCTCATCAAAAGTCCATGTTCCCTCTCACTTCAGCTGCTTATCCTGTAGTTTACTTTCTAATTGCCACGTCAAAAAAAATCAAGCTGTATTATTATTAAGTATGCTTATAGCCCTCAAACATACTTCTCAGCAGATATTGATCTAATTTTATTAAAAATGCCAATTGATCCTAAATCATCAGGGAATTTGTTCCACTTTCTTATGGAAAATGAAATGATCTCTAATATATCTCCTGTTTGATTGGCACCACATCCACAAGCAATCACTTCCTCTGCCATTGATGCTCAGTAACAGAAGTGTATACTTTCTACAAGAAGCACTGCAGAAATTCACTAAAGACCCTCAGATAGCACCTTCCAACTTTATGACCACTACCATCAAGAAGGGCAAGGGCAGTAGATATATGGGAACACCATCACCTGCAAGCTCCCCTCAAGTCGTTCACCATTCTTACTCAGAAATATACCACCATTCCTTCATTGTCGTTGGGTCAGAATCCTGGAATTCCCTCCCTAACGGTATTGTGGGTCTACCTACAGTACAGGGACTGCATCAGTTCAAGAAGTCAGCTCACCACCATCTTCTCAAGGGCAACTAGAGTTGGGCAATAAATGCTTGCCCAGTCAGTGATACCCATATCGCAGAGATGAATTACAAAAAAGGCAAGTTTGCAAGCACTTTTCATTGTTCACTAGTTCAGCCATCAAAATATGTACTTTGCATAATAGGCAAATAACAGGTTCATCTTCTCTCACCTATTCGCCCCTCTCATTTCACTGACCAATCCCCACCATTCCCTGCCTACACTTACCTATCACCGTCCCACCTACCTTCCCCAGCCCCACCCCTCCTCTCTATTTATTTTGAGCTCCCTTCCCCCTCTCCATTTCTGAAGAAGGGTTCCAACCTGAAACATTAACTTTCCTGCTCCTCCGATGCTCCTGGCCTGTTGTATTCCGCCAGCTCCATACTGTGTTATTTATATGAAGTGGTTTAAACAATTCAGTCCGTTCAGTTCTGATGCAGAGTCACCTGACTTGAAATGTTAATTCTGCTTTCTTCCCACCGATGCTGCCAGGCCTGCTGAGTTTCTCCAGCAATTTCTGTTTTTGTTTTACATCTCCAGCATCTACAGTTCTTTGTTTTATTTCAGCCCATTCATGACTGTTTTCGTTTTGCTGGGTAGCGTTTCTCCTAATTATAGGTGTATAAGATTTATTTTCATTAAATCAACAGAGGTAATGCCCTTATAGATGCTTTTATTCTGTCAAGTGCTAATCTGCTATTTTCTTCTCTTCGGTCTCTCACCTGTTTACTGCTAGAAAGTATACATATAACTTTTTGTCCTTTAAAGGAGCTGCAATGATTGACAAAATGAATGTTGCTAAACAAGCGTTCACAGCGATAATTTAAAAGTATCAAACATAACATTTATAAGTGAGCTTCAATAATTGTAGTTTCCTTTGAATGCCCTGTGCATTTGCATGACCATACTTAGAGACTAAATGCACCACATGGTATGGCCCTAAACCACACACCACAGAACACATTTGTTTGATCTATAGCTTGCTCTTTTACTGTAGTTGCTCTCAGTTCCTTACACAGATGGATATTTTGATTAATTTCAGTGCTTTGGGCTAGCAAAGGGCCAGGAATTATCTACCAGATTGCTGCTCTTCAAGACAACCAAGGAGGAGTGGGGACAAAAAATCCCTGCCAATTATATATCTGATAAAAGTTGCATAAATAATCTTTTTCAATAATACATGTCCATCATTGGATAGGAGGCCAACACTTACTATCTAGACTCATAAATAAGGATACTCACCTGAGCAAGGTGCCAGAGGTCTGTCAGGACTCATGAAACATGAACAACATGTTACATTTACAGAGATAGTAGGAACTGCAGATGCTGGAAAATCTGAAATAACAAGGTGCAGAGCTGGATGAACACAGCAGGCCAAGCAGCATCATAGGAGCTGCTTGGC